TTAACATCTTCATCAGTGACTTGAACACGGGGGATAAAAAGCACCCTGTTTAGATTCGCAGACGACACTAAAATGTGGGCAGATGTGGGCATGCTAGAAGGGAGAAAAGCACAGGGGAGCGGCGGAGGAATTGGGAACTAGCCTTGGGTCCTGCTGCTGGGTCAGACATTAGACCCGGCACCTCTACACAGTCACGACTGCGGTTTTTGGTAAAAGTGATGCCTTTGAGTAGCTATACACGTGCTCAGACTGGAGTGGGGACGCTTTAATTGGAGTGGCTCTAATTAGATTGCCTCCAGCATCATGCATATTCAGCATCTTGCACTTTAGAAGTGTGGGGGGAGCTTTTACCTAAAGTGCATTTGACGACTTCAGTTAAAGCGCCCGGGCACCACTTGGAAATGCAGGGATGCTGAATATAGCAGTGGAGGAGGCAAGCTCCAGCAGACTGATTAATGGAGTATGATCTGAGGCATGCTGATTAGGACACATAGGGGCAGAGCTTCGTCATGTGTATAGGCACCCTCCATTGTTAGGTACTAGAAAAAGGAGGATTAGCCTATTTTATTGTGCATTAGTGAAAGCACAGTTTTTTGTGATGTGTTAATGTGCATTAAAATAAGCTAACGTGCATTAAAGTGCATGTGTAGATGGGTCCAGTCAGGCTAGGTGTTTAAAGCTTTTCTCAGTTGTGAGAGTCTTACAGGAGCCTGACAGTACCCACATCCCTGCCTGGCTTCTGGTTTCTTCAAACACTTTCAACTTCACTAAAGGGCTTGTGTCAGCTGTACCCTGGGAGGCACCAGGGATGAGAGGTGGGTCAGCAGCCATCAGAAAGCACAGACGCATCTCCACGTGCTGCCACATACACTGCTAAGTGTTGGCAGAAACCTGTGGCGTGCAAAGCTGGTGTGACTGAGGCGGCAGAGGGAAATGTTCGGTCACTGTGAGGGTGAACACAGGTTCTGCCATATGAAGCTCTGTGGCATAGGCCGGGGGGCATATTTAAATCACCAGCTGAGGTTCCTATGTAACTGCAAGACTCAAGTAGCTGAGGCTGAGAAAAACATCTCATTCCTTAGTTAGCAACCCTGGATACTCACCTCTCATCCTAAAAATAATGCCCATTTTTGCGCAGCTCCCTCAACTCTACGTTTTCTCTGTGGAATATGCAGTACTTGTATATACCCTTTTTGCCATTCTGTCATTTGTCATCCGTTGCATTTTGCAACTGCAGGGAGGCACAGTGATCTCTAGTTTGCAGTTAGGGTAACTGATAAAGAAGATAAGTGACTTATTCACTGTCACATAGCAAATCAGTGACACAGATAAGGGAAGAACAATATTTAAAGCTAGTAGTTTTCAGGGAGCAAAATCTAAGACAGTTTCTGACATTCCCCAGATGTCTGGAAGCAGTCATTTCAAGTTCTAGTAGAGTGGTGCTCAACCAGGGTGTCAGGGCACCCAGGGGTACCACCAGATCCTCTGAAGGGTGCCCTGAAAGATGAGATAAGCCTGGTGTGAGAAAATAATCAGATAAGTGCAGGCTCAGCCCCTACCTGAGGGCCTCCTTGTGGGTAGGTGAGTACTGTAACAAAGAGCAGCTGGTCAATTCACAAAAGTTATGGAGCGCTGGCTTGAGACTAATGAGGGCTGCCTTCAGTCTATTGAGGGGTGCCTTGACTTTACAATGGTTGAGAACCACTGTTCTAGTTTACCCATCTTAGTACAGGTAGGCTAATTAGCTCAGCTAAGAAGTTGATTTGCCTGGGCACAGTGCTGTGTAAACCCTCAAGTTTTGGAGGGTTTACACAGCACTCTTGGGCCATCTATACTGCCTGATTGCAGGGCTCTGGTGTGGGAGCCAGTAGACAGAGTTACTTCCTTGGCAGCAGACCCAGGGTCAGGACAGAAGTAGTACAGACATTAGCTGCCAGGAGCTTGCATCCTGTCTCCCAAAAAAACACAGCTAGGAAAGGATGCTAAGCAATTAGAAGTCCCTTGAGAGAGGGTGTGGGCTGACAAAGTATGAGATTTTGGGGAGGGAGTAGAAAGAAATTGGCTGTTATCAGATCCAGGGAATCAAACCTCAGTGAAAATATACAGGGACAGATTACTATTTTGTGCTGTTGTTTTTAAAAAGGGTTCTCTCAAATGCCTTTGTTCTAAAGAAATGATACTTTGCTTGAAGAAGACTCCTTGGCCACTGATTACTACTGTCCTTGTTCCATATGGAACAGAACTGCAGGGCATATGTCTAAGTCAGACTTGCTGAAGTTTGGGGGGTGGGGTTTAAATTTTTTCATATTCTGGGTCAAATTAGTCAAATCAGTTCTGAATTTCTGAATCCTCTCGACTGAACAAAACTCAGTTGTTTAAATACTATACGTGGCTACATATAGCAAGTATCCTTCAGCCCAGACTTTTCAGCCTGGGGCTTCAGATGCTCCCAAATCCATTTGGCAGGCATGCTACGTGCAGGCCCAAGCCCAGAGGTCTTGGGGTTCAGATGCCCTCTAGTCTCACTTGCTCTTAGCCAATGGCCACAAGAGCAAGCTTGTGGGAGGAGTCCCCCATTTCCATAAAGTAGGTTTGTAGCTGAGATCCCTCCATTGGGAGGCTGTACCAGACTCTTGTAAGGCATTGGACAGGGGTGCAATGGACAGTGTCATTCTAACGTGATCTCGGTTGGGGCAACAGACCAGTGCAGCGACTACACTTGACCTTAGCCCGCAAGAGGCTGAGAAGCGCTGAAATAATTGTTAGTACAGTAGCCTGACAGTTGCACAATTCAGCGATGATTCAGGTGATGACTAAAAGCCTGATACCTGAATGGGGGTGTGCTTGTCAAAACTAGCAAACATCAGAAGTGCATACACCCTGATAACAGGCAGACAAAGTTATTTGGATAAATCTGGTATCTTTTATTTGACCAACTGAAATAGTTGGAAAGATTCTTCAGTGCAAGCTTTCAGGTACAAACACCCTTCATCAGTCTAAGAAAGTATCTGTAGTTGGTCTGTGTTCTTCCTGGAAGGAATAGAAAAGAAGCCAGTTGTTGTTTGGTTTCTCCTACATATTTTTCATCAGGGCATTTGGTGCACTGGATGATATCTATCTATCTATCTAGACACCCCCCCCCCAGAAATGTTATATATTAGGTGTGCACCAATAGAGATTTTGGGTGCTGATACCAATAGTTGATTTTTGGGGGGTGTATCAGCCGATACCAATCCAAATTCTGATACGCAGCCTGGCAGCTTGAAGAGCAGTGAGCAGCAGGTAAGCCTGTTGTGGTGGAAGGGGAGGGGAAAGGGAAGGGGTCTGGGGGTGGGGGCAGATCGAGGCCCCTGCGATGAGGGAGGGAGGGAGTGGGGCTGGGGCAGGGGCTGGGACAAGCGCTGCCCAGCCAGGGTGGGGCAGGATAAGGCACAGGATAGAATCGTGGCTCATCTGGGGACAGGGTGGGTGGTTCCCACTGCTGTGCGCACCCTGAGAGGGCACGGCGGTGTGTGCCCCAGATCTGCATGGGGTGAGGACAGGCTGCCGCTGCAGGCTGGAGTCGGGGCTGCGC